TAAAGAAGCAAATGCGCAGAAAGAAACAGAAAGAAAAATGCCAAAATCTTAACATCAATTATAATCAGGTTACACATTGTGAATGTTTTGCTTTTCTTTTTCTGTATTTTCCATGTAGTCTATGAAAGACTTTAGTACTAGATCAGCCAATGCTATCCTACCTTACCATGCAGAAGGACATTAGGAACAATCTCTGGATGTCCAGTTATAAGAGATTTCCCCAGAGACTGAGCCATTTCTGGGTCGGGGGCAGGACTGGAAATTAAGTCAGGATTCCCTTTGGAATCAGTGGTTGGTTAGCTAAGGGCATTCCTCCTTGGTGAGTTTTGTTCCTTCCCCTGACCACTATCCCCCTATTTAACCTGAGGATGCTGAATGCAGTGTAATTAGTGGAACCAGATGGTTGTGAGTAGATCACTGAGCACAGCCATTGGTCCTACAGGGAAATGTCTCTGGGCAGGCACTCCACTGATTTGTGAGCCAAGAGTGCCATTTCATAATTACTGAGACACACTTAGGAAGGATATGTACTGGGGTTTAGAGCATGGTCTTTGGAGTCTGACAGTTCTGGATTTGAATCCCAGCTCTTCTACTGAGAGTAGCTGTTTGGCCTTGGGAAAATTCCTTAACTTTTCATACCCTCAGTTTCCCCATCTGCAACCTGGGAATAATACTCTGTACCTCATAAAGTCATTTGAAAGATTAAATGATATAATGTGTGCAGAGGGCTTGGTACTGTGCCAAATAGTCAATAATGACAGGTAACTATAATTATTAGCTGCTGTAATCATAGCTCTTCCGTATTTTAAAGTACTACTGTATGTTAAAGATGTATGTTTCTTTGCATTTTTCCTGAAGTCCGTAAAAAGTTTTCATTAATTAAAAGCAAGCCAATTAGGAAAGGACTCCTCTATTTTATGGATAAGCCAGCTGGGGGGTCGTTTATTATTTCTCCTGAATTGTTAGCTTTTGAAGCTCCTTAGATTCAACATCCCTTTTAGTGGGATCCTCATTTCGATAATCCACCCTCAAAGAATTCCATCCAGTTAGTGAGGCAAGTTATTCCTTTCCTGAAACCACACGGGTCCTTCTAAACCGAGTCCCTGCTCTTTCTCTGTTTGATTTCTTAAAATAGTTTCTGAAGATTTTAACCACAACTGAATCAAAACTAACCAGCCTGTAATTTCCTGGTATGTCCCTATGGCTTTTCTTTTAAAACAACACACACACACACACACACACACACACACACACACACACACACACACAAATGGCATTACATTGGCAGGTTTCCAGTGTTTCAGAGTTTGGACCGGAGGAAGCTGGAAGGTGTCTGTGAAAACTACTCTAATTTCTCTTTGTCTCTCTTTTGGAGGAGGCTCTGGGTTGCTTGGGGCTTCATCATGATGTATTATCAAATGTAGACACTTTTAATTTTGAATTGTTTTAAGAATAGTTTACCAGTGTTACAAAAAGTTTCCCTAGTTCTTTACCACCTATTTTCCTTCTCTTCAATTCTGGTACCTCAGGAAATAAGGCACTTTGTACCATGCATATAAGCTAGCAAAAGAACGAACTATTCTTTTACAAAAAAGATACGCTTTCTAAAAACATCTAAGGAAATATGGACGACTTATTTGAATTCATAAATTAAAAGCACAGTTGGAATATATTTGGATCTTCTCCCAAAACCTGTGCAAACATTCTGAGCTCAACACAAAGGAACCTAAGACTAGATTTTATTTGGCCAATTATTTAAATAGTTAATGACTTTTTGTATCGTAGCTTTTTTTCATTTTATTATCGAGTGTTTTCTTGTAGTTGAATTATCAATATAAGGAAAATATTTGGGTTCAAAATTGTCTTGATTTTAAATGTGCTCATAATTAATATATAATACAAAAGTTGAAGTTAAAAGTTGAAGTTAATATCTACTCACAAAAATGTGAGTAGATATATAATATTCAGATAATGACTAAATCAAAATGGATCAGAATGAAAACCAAACAATTTACTTTATAATTATAAGGAACATGATGAGAATATGTGTGTTCAGTACACTGCTTTTGTAAATGTTTCAGTAAGTGTTTGTTGAATTAATAAATTAGCAACATATAGAAATAAAAATGCAAAAACAAATGTTGAGATAAGGATGTAAGAAAAATATATTTCTAAACAAAACACTTTTATTTAAGTTTTAAGATATAATAAAATCAAACTAATGTAGAATTATTGTGTGAGAAAGTCATATTCAGAAGTTCTAAAATGCTAAAATATGTTTATGGAAATACAGTACATTTTCTTCATGATATTTATATTTGGAGTTCATCAACAAGGTATTTCCAAATAAATAAATGTTTTCAGATAGATTTAAGTTATTTGCAATTAGAGGCTGGCATTTGTATACCAGAAATTTACATGCTGAAGGTTTTAAAACTGTTCATTTTAGAAGTATCTTTCCTCGTATTTCTTATAATATGAATTACCCAGCAAGCTTTCTTGCAAAGCAGAAAGCAAAAGCAATGTTAACCACAGCCCAGACTAAAATGTTATTAAAAGCAATGAAGTTGAAAAGAATGATATTTCTTCACTGTATTTGGCAATTAAAACTATATTTATCTTTTTTTCAAAAGTTTTGATTGATTAAAACAGGATCAAATATATAGTGAAACACTAAAACGTTAGAACAGGTACCTAGTTATATTACTTATTTTTGACCTCACTTTCACCTAAGATTTTCTATAATTTCTATCACAGATATTTTTCAAGCACTGATTCTTAAAAATACAATTTCAAAAATTAAACATAGAATATACAAAACACTCTTTGGGTTGTACAGATGTAAGCAATTAATTAACATTTGAAAGACAACATCTACATAGATATGTTGATGTTAAAAAGTTGGGGAGTCAGTCACTAACCTTGTAGAAATTTCAGAATCTCACTGTGGGTTCAGGAAAGATGAAAAGATATAGGTAAAGTCCTCTTTTCTTTTTTTCATATTCTAATCCACAGCATGGTGTCAGCTTTGCATACTTTCTGCTTGTTTCGTTTATTGCCAAACTCCTTGGCTGACAAGCATTGGCCTTGATGGTTTCAACTGACCTCTTAGGCAGTGTTGTTGAAATGAACATCAATGATATCATCCCACAAACAACTGCCTTCATCTCCCCTTTACCAGGAGTATTTTCCTGATTGTATTCCATTCCAACGTGTTTTCATCAATTTATTTAGCACTTACTCACACGGTTGTGACTCAGAGATTTGGGGTTGGTGCTTTGGGAACCCAAAATAATGGAGATGTCATATTACATTATGTAATCATTGGCTCTTAATTGCTCAAAAGTTCTCTTACTGTATTAAATACTTAAAAGAAAATAAAAACTCTAAGGTTCATGCCCCAGTTACCCAGAACTCTCAAATTTTCAACAGATAAAGATTATTTCCATATCTTTAGAACCTCTTAATTGTATTATTAGAGCTCACATTTCAAAGAAATGCTGAGTAAAATAATGGTGCAAAAATATTTTTATATTGTTGCAAGCTTTAAAAACGTTTTCCAAGCTACTAGGATATTTTATTTGTTTTTACTTAAAATTTGTTAACTGAAACCTACAATCTACTCCTATAATAAACAATTAATGATGCAATAAGTGGTAAACAAGTAAATTGCTGCTCTTTAGCGCACTATTTGTAAGTGCTGTGGGAAAGGGCAAAGCAAACAGAAAGTACAGAAATTTTTGCAAGAATTACAGTCTGCTTTTTATAATTCAGATTCCCATATGGCATTGGAATTTAAACAGGCAAGAGATGTTTCTATACTAGTTTCAAATTTTCCAATTTTTCTTCTGCCAAGTCTTAATTACCCTGAGTACTTCTTAATGTACAACTCCCCCAACACGATGGAAAGAGTTTCACTAGATGGAAAACTATACTATCAATTGTGGTAATATGAGTAGAATTTTTCTGGGCACAATATGTACCACCCTAAGAAGATGCTATATGGGAATTATCTCTAAAAAACATGAAGCCCTATGTTGAAATAGAAGGTGGCATTATTATTTTTTTTTACAATTATCTTGCTGAGAGGCCAATTCAAATAGGAAACCTAGGTTTTGGGGGTCTTGAAAAGGTGAAGAAGGCACTATTGGAACATTTTCACTTTTCTCTTTTTGCTTCTGTGAATTGATTTTGCCTTTTCCACTTGAGGCAAAAAGAAATGACTTCATATGCAAATCCATTTCATACATACACATGCAGACACAAACATTACATATGTATATACTGAAGCATTGGGCTTTCCAAACATAATTCAGCATGATTTGGAAAATAAGAAAAACATCTTATTTTGGGCTATGATGATAGCAAATGGATGTGAACCTGGTAGCAGTTTGCTAACAGCATTTTGAAATATTTTTCATATGCAAATATGAGTCTTTGGAAAACACACAGATTGATTTCTATAAGCAAATTAAACAAAAAATCCAGGTATAAAGAAATTATCAGATGTGTAATATAGGAGTAGAAGTGATGGATTGTTGCTGAAATATTCAGATTATTATGAAGGTACCGATATGCCTATTATTTTAAAAGGCACGTCTATAGAGTATCATATAAACTATCTTAAATAGTCAGACCTGAACTGTGAGGGTTCCCCGCAACTGTCCTTTTCATATTAGTTTTCCTGACTCCCTGTCTCTTCCCTGGGTCCCTTCTTGGCTACAACTTTATTATATAAATATACTGCCATAGAAACAATCTTGGGCACATGCTTTGAATATTGTAACCTTCATAGTTTAGGGAACCGATTTTTAATGGGTTTATCATAACCCCTCCAGATCTTTGGACAGCCTTTTCCCTAAGTTGTTGAGGTGACAGCCAAATTTGCCAGGTAACACTTAATGGTAGGCTTAAGAAGAGAGGAAGTGCCCCTGGAGAAACCTGGCTCCATTTCATTCACCGTTTGCCCTCTTTAGAAAACCCACCAGATCGTACAGTACCTTCTTTTCATTTTCCCGTCGCTGTTGGTCCTTAAATTTAATCTGGAGAAGTTGAAATTTCAAGAGTTTCCCTATCAGTGGTAAGGTTAATTTCTCTCCGCTATCCATAATTGCTTTTGCTGCCATTAACACCTATGGAGAAACACAATTATTAGAAAAAGTGATGTTTTATAACCTTTGGCACAGTCTGTCAGTGATGAAAAGATGAAAGGAAATTTTATATTTTATATTATTTGCCATCCTGGAAAGATACCTCATTGCTGGCTTAAAATAAAGGGGAAAAAATGCCTCAATGCTACAGAGAGGGGCATTTACCCTCTACTTTAAATAAATTGAATTGTCTGAATATCGACTTCTTTTTCCAATAAGGCAGAGTGCTTCCAACGATGGTGTTAAACTCAGACTCCAGGAAAAGGGTAGAGAAAAGACAGGCTGGCCTCCATTTTAGGATGACTGATAGGGTGATTCATGCTACAGAAAGTCTATTGTTGTTTGGCGTAGCCAGTAGTCCAACCTGTCAAACTTTGACTTATTAGGACATTATAAATTAAATAGAGTTTTATAATAGTGGAAATGACTATGTTAGCAGTCTTTTATTTCTTTGTAACTAAATTCAAATGAAAGATAAAAGCTGCTTGACACAAAGGCGCCATATGAATGTTGCTCCCCCCTGCAACTTAATGTTGATCATGTTGGTATGCAGCCTAATTGGGGTGAAATAAGGTTATTGAGTTTTCTTTGGGTGACGACAGCCACTAGGAACATACAGCTGTATTGTCCAGATGTGTGGCACTGACAGCCTGTTTTATGACTGTGTTTTTTACAGCTTGTTTCCCCTAAATTTCACACAACGCTCTAACATCTGGGCCCTTTTCCTTGGAGCCCTATAACCACTTTATTTACTGCAAAAAAAATAAAATCACGTAAAATATACCATAAAAAGTAGTTATGTGTTTCTCTTTATTCATGTTGTCTCCCTAATAAAGTTCACCTCTGCCTGAAGCACTGTCACAGAAGTAATCTAGTTGAAGTATTTTTTGACTTTTGTTTTTAAGCAAGCATCATATTTATTTATAACCTTGGGATGAATTAGGTGTTACTAAAATGTTCTGACATATTGCTTTTCTCCCCCCTTGGAGTAATCACTCCTGGGGCACACATGGTGTCAATTTCAGGCCCTTGGTCTCAGACAATGACTGCGCATGCTGCATCTCACGGAGCTGTATCTTGTCTGAGCTCTTGGTCAGGGCTTTCCTGACCAGTCCAGTTCCTTTTGACTTGTTACTTCGCCAAGGGAAATAGCCGGAAGAAAGGGAGGTACCTATTTTCCTCTAACTGCAGAAGGCTCTATGGATTACCATGTGCCAAAATGTAACTGGACCTCTTAGAGACCACATTGGGGTTTCCCGCATTGCATCACAGAAGGGGAAAGCCAGAGAAAGATTCCTTTAAAGCTGCCTTTTCTAAAAACCAAAGGAACTGACCAAGTATCAGAAATCTTTGCATTTGTCTAAGCGAGGACTCTAGGAAATACGGTGCTTTGCTTTTTATGGCAGCTCTGCTCCTGCTAACACGATTTAGGGAAAGGGACATGATGGCTGTGATTTCTGGGAGTAGAAAGATGTAGCAGTACACCTGCAGAACCTCACCATTTAACGATGACCAGATCCCACGTGGAAGGGGATCCTAAGGGGACAGCAGGTCAGGCGTTTACTGTAAAGTGAAAGCTGTCTGACTGGGTCCAATCCCAAGAGTAGATGTCAATATTTGGTTTGCATTTTTCAATGCCAGCTAAATACTGTGCTGACAATCAGGCTCTGTGACATCTGATTCAAAACATTCAAATGTGGGTTTTTAAAGGTCATGGCAGTCTAGCGTTTCCCTCTAATACAAAGATAATGACAGCGCTGAAGGGAAGTCAACACTGAAAAGGGTTACCCCAGAGAGGCTGTGGAGTCTCTTTTCCTGATGACCTGTGAAAACAGGATATTCACCTATGTCTGGGGGGTTTGGGTGAAGCCTGCCTGGCGTCATGGCGATGGACGGGATGTCTCTGGAGGTGATTTGTTTAGGAGTCTGTGAATGTTACCTCACTGTGTTAAAATGTACTCAAAGCACAACGAAACATCCTGAGAGAAAAGTATTTTGCAGGCCATGATAGTTATTACTGGTTTGTCTAAAACTATATGTGGAGTGCTGGTTTCAAACAAAAATCCGGCACAGCATCAAAGTAACGGTGAGGTCCTGCCCTGACATGGGGAGACAGGTGATGAGGGGCTTCACCAGTTTGCCAGGCACCCGTGCTTTCATGACATACGGACACACACAGAGAGAGAGAGAGAGCAGTGGTGGACAGGCAGCCTTGAGGAGTGCCCTGGGCAGTGTCCTCCTCCCGAACTGCCCTCAGGCTGCCCACATGGAGGCAGACTCGATGTGCCACATCCTGCAGAAAGGCACAGCCTGCCCCTGGTACCACTAGGAATGGCAGAGGCCAGGCATACTTGGCCTCCCCCAGGGTTGCTCTGAAAAGGCTTGACTCTCTAAATGCCACTTTCTTTCTGTGCATCCCCCAAAGGGAATGATATTGTGAATTACTGGAATAATTAATGAAGATGAAAGTCTATGCTGAACTCAAAATCTGAGACAACATTTTCATGGTATGTGGGTCCTTCTTAAAAGAGGTGGAAAAAGAAAAATGTTTACAAATAATTTCCTTTCAAAATTCTTTCTTCTCATGCCCCATAATTCACAATGCTACCCATTCAGTAGCCAGTGGTTTGGTCTCAGATGAAAAACAAATGTTTCAGGAATCTTTACTTGAAGGACAAGTTTTTGAGGGAAGAAAAATTAAAGAGACAGAATTTAAGAGGAAATGTACCTTTCCACATAATATCTCCAAAGGCTTCTCCTCCCTGGCCTTAGTTGTATTAATTAAAATCATCATCAAATCTTCAACATTCTAGCACTGTAAAAATTATTTGCCCATCATCTATGTCAAAATATGTGTGTGTACCTGTGCACATGTGTGTGCAGTAGGGGATAAGCTAGCCAGGGCTATAGTTATTGGGGAGATGAGAGACATAAGAGAACGTGGGAGCAGTGAGTGGCAGTGCTTGAGGAGTAAATAGGCAAAAATCTAAGCTTCCAGAACTAGTCAGAAAAACAGTCCTAAATGGGTTAAAACCTTAGTGCTCTTTAAGCCAAAATGTCCAGTAAATGTGCTTGGCATGAATCAGGAACTCAAAAAAGCATGAGTCTTATGGGCCAATGAGACTTATTAAAATGGAGAAGACTGTTGCCAGGCAAAGCCTGTGTCTCCTGGACCTCTTCAGGTCAGCTCTCCAGGCAGAGAGGCCTGCCAGGACCGGAGAGAGGCTCTGCACTGAATGACCAAAGGTCACTCAGTTCCAGGAATGATTGGTGAAGGAGGAAATCAAGCTTCAAAGAGTGCAGCTGAGGCAGAAGCCATGTTTATGTTTTATTGCGTGAAGATATTTAAGGGGTCTAGATGCTTTTTCTCTGTTAGGGAGCTTGTAATTCTGTACACACTAAGAAGTAAAAATATTTCCTTTATCACTGACCTGGTTTAAAGACTTACATCATATTTACTATCTAATGATTTGATCCTACAAAAATATACCAAATGAGCCAAATTATTTCCTTGCCTGAGGATCAGGTCCACCTACAGACACTAGTGTCCTCTCTCCTTCTAAGCATTCCTCCTCTCTCTAGAACCTCCCTACATTAGTAAGCACAAGCCCAATGCTTAGAATTGCCCTAGGCGCTCTCATGGAATACCAAATGTATGCATGCATGTATGTGTGTGTGCATACATATGTACATAGGCACATTTATACATATATGCATATATGTGCATACATAAGACAGATAAATAGAGAGAGAGAGAGAGACAGAGAAAGAGAATGGACTCCCATGAAGCCTGCTGTATGATTTCCCTTTTATGTTTACAAGAAGTCACATGAAGCAGTTTGAATCATTGCTTAACCTGCTGCATATTCGAGGTTGCATAAAGATTTGGATCTGGATTTCTCTTGCATGGAACAGGTTATGGGAGTGAGGTGGCAGAGGAAAGGGCAAGCTGTGGTTGTGTGAAGCAGAGGGAAGAGAGGTAGTAGAAGAGAGATGGTCTGGGAGAGCACTTTCCCCCCAGGAGCTCCAAATATCCACCAGTTTCCCTAAAAGAATCCTTTGGCTTCAGGGACTTTCTTGGAGGCCCATAGTGTTTATTGCGGTAACTGTAAAAATTCACAAAATATGACTTCATATTTAACCTATTTTGGGGAGGTGAATGACTTAGGATTGCTTTGGATATATAAAGTCCTCAGCAAACAGAAGCAGAATCCATCAGCTAGAGCTTGACTCAGTTCAGACTAGCACAGGGCTGGGCAAACAGGTTTTCAGCACACATTCTTTTGGGTAGCTCATTTCTCTAACATATGATTGATTAAATAAAGTAAGAGTATAATAGTTCTTATCACGGTAAAAAGTATATACACATATATGTATATTCAAACACAAACGGGATTATGTTATTCACATTAAGTGCTTTGTGGTTTGTGTTTTTACATAAAAACACATCCAGGACAGCTGTCTGTGCTGATATATTTTGCTTATGTATATGGTTTTTAATAAATAGCATAGCCGCCTATTGTGTGGGTGTTTGCTCATTTATTTAACTAGTTCCCCATTGATAGACATTTAAACAATTTCAGTTTTCCTTTTTTTCTATGAAGTGCATGTGTGTTTTTGTTAGTGGCATTTTTGTTCCCACCAAAACTGTATGAAAGGGTCCATTCCCCCACTTCCCATATAAACAATGAGTATTCTCCAACTCTTATTTGTTGATATTAGTGCTAATAGTTTCTCTGTGATGATGAAAATATTCTTTATCTGTAATGTACAATATGGTAGATGCTAAACCACATGTGACTATTGAGTACTGTAATATTGCTAATGAGATTAAAAAAAAATTTTAAATTTTGTTTTTAATTGATTACAATTAAAATTAAAGTGTAAATAGCCACAAGTGGCTAGTGGCTATTGTTTTGGTCAGAGAAGGTCTATATGATAGGGAAAAGTGAAATATGGTATTTCATTTAAAATAATATTCA